GAAATTTTTCATTAACCTAAATGGAAACTCTGTGCCCATAAAAAAATAACTCCCCATTCCCATTACCCCCAGCCCCTGGTAACCTCTAATTCTACTTTATACCTTCATGAATTTGCCTATTCTAGTTATCTCATATAAGTGAAATCGTATAATATTTGTCCTTTTGTGTCTGGCTTATTTTACTTGGCATAAAGTTTACAAGATTCATCCATGCTGTAATATGTCAGCATTTCATTACTTTTCATGGCTGAATAATATTCCATTGTATGTATATACTCCATTTTGTTTATCCATATATCTGTTGATGGACACTTGGGTTGTTTTCATCATCCAACTATTGTGATTAATGCTGCTATGAACATTGGTGTACAAGTATCTGTTTGAGTTCCTATTTTCAATTCTTTTGGGTGTATACCTAGCAGTAGAATTGCTAGATCATATGGTAATTTCATGTTTACCTTTTTTGAGGACCCACCAAACTGTTTTTCAAAAAAAATTTTTTTTTAAGCAACTTGTCTTTATGAAGACTTCCTAAGGCATTCAGCTTGGTTCTCACAGAAGCAACAGCTCTCTTTACATTTCGTCCTCTATTTCATCAGTTTCTAGACCATCTAATTAACTTGTATAATTACAATATCATGGATTCCCTGGTGGTCCAGTGGTTAAGACTCCACACTTCCAATGCGGGGGGTGTGGGTTCGATCCCTGGTCGGGGAACTAAGATCCCGCATGCTGCGTGGTCAAAAAAATACAATATCAAGTCCAACTATCATAAACAGGTTTAGAAATATATACAATTGATACTTGCTAAGCATGCAACTCAACTGCTAAGACCAGAAGTCCTTGGAACATACTAGAGCGTAGCTTTCTGGCAATAAGCCCCAGGGTGCTCTGGGAATCAGCCAATACCTATTACAGAACAAATGGAGTATATTGGTTAATCTGTCCAGTCAAATGGAGGCCAGTTAAGAGAGCTTTTACCTTTCAATTAAATTACCTTTGTCATGATAAGATATATAAAGGAATTTAGAAATGACTGTGGCTCTAGGAAAAAAGAAAAAACAGCTGCACATCCAGGACTGTTAACATTCAATACACTTTTTGTTGGGAGACTGGAAAAAGGCACACAGCAAAGGCTAAAACAGAATGGGAAGTTGACCAAGGTGGTCATTTTTTGTATCAACTCTTGAATTTAAGAAAGTTCTAATCGATAAGAGCTGTAGGTTAATTTTCTTCCCTTACAGCTTCACTTAGCGTGGGTGATAAATGGAAGATAAACAAAGAATAGGGAGATCGTGCCTATTCTTAGAAAGAAAATACCTTTCAGGTTAAGATTCAAGACTTGAGGATATGGGGAGGGGGAAGGGTAAGCTGTGACAAAGTGAGAGAGTGGCATGGACATATATACACTACCAAACGTAAAATAGATAGCTAGTGGGAAGCAGCCGCATAGCACATGGAGATCAGCTCCGTGCTTTGTGACCACCTAGAGGGGTGGGATAGGGAGGGTGGGAGGGAGGGAGAAGCAAGAGAGAAGAGACTTGGGAACATATGTATATGTATAGCTGATTCACTTTGTTATAAAGCGGAAACTAACACACCATTGTAAAGCAATTATACTCCAATAAACATGTTTAAAAAGAAAAAGACTTTGGGATGTGATTAGAAGGTTTTCTAGCCAGTTCTGAAATGAAATCACCAAGCTGTAGGAGGAGTACTTTTATACAGCATCATCCATCCTTGTTGGCGACCCAAATGATTAAAGGTTTGGGAAATTGCCCCTCTAAATATGGGCTAAAGGAACTGGGTTTATTTAGCTTAGAGAGGGAGACTGAGCATGCTGAGGGGGACTTAATAATAGTCTCCAAGAATATGAGGGATATTCTATGAGTGATGGAAAGCAGCTGTTTCCTGTTTCCACTGAGGGCTGGATAAGAAAGAATAGAGTTAAATTGCAACAAGTGGGTTTAAGAACTACTTGGCCATAAAGTTCAAGACAACAAACCCACAAGACCAAAGTCACTTCTCTGTTTCAGAATTATGTAGCTCACTAGCTATCTTTCTTGGGTGCTTTCAACTGGCCTGTTCTTGAACTAGTAGAAAGATATGGAGGACCTTTCACCTGTGTGAGAGTATGAAGTTGTCCAGTGTCAGAACCTACCAGTGTTCTGTGGCTGAGGAAGCACTTATCTTCTAAGGAGATTTAAAAAGAAAAGAAATTCAGGATCTCTTTGCTCCCCCTTCATTTGCTTTTAAAGCCAGATAATCTAGATCTACTTCTTCTGTATGAGATGAAAAATTTCCATAGATTTGCCAGTGTGTGTTTTTTTCTGCCCACTTGGTCAATGTCGTCACGACTTTAAAAAAAGTTCTGTGTTTTTAGTGAGATTGTGTATACACATACATGTGTATACATACATGTATATAGGCATGTGTGTATATATGGTGTCTTAAGATATGAGATATATACACATATATCTCATAGATATTGTAGATATTTGATATATGATATATATATTTATCATATGTAATTAATTCAACAATGAAAGCAATGTTTCATTCTAGACAGTGTGTCTGTGCGTGTTAGGGATATGAAGATGAATAAGATATACACCATGGGGCTTCCCTGGTGGCGCAGTGGTTGAGAGTCCGCCTGCCGATGCAGGGGACACGGGTTCGTGCCCCGGTCCGGGAGGATCCCACATGCCGCGGAGCGGCTGGGCCCGTGAGCCATGGCCGCTGAGCCTGCGCGTCCGGAGCCTGTGCTCCGCAACGGGAGAGGCCACAACAGTGAGAGGCCCGCGTACCACACACACACAAAAGATATACACCATGCTAATTAGGAACAAAGCAAATAAATACACAAAGCATTACGAAATAATGCATCATTCTAGAAAGTCAGGTAGGGGAAGAAATTTAAAGACAGAAAAGTGAGTTTGGGGAATGTTACTAGTCTTTAGTCAACGAGGCAGATGGAAATGCCTGAAACTTCTTCTCAACTATTGTTTCACCATTGTTATCCTGTGTTAGGTGAATTTTACTGTTTATTCTGAATTGGATAAAGGGGTGTCTTATTTGCTCAACTAGGAGTGTTTTCAAGGCAAGGTTTCATTTCCAGAGGATTGACTGCTGTTAGGTTATATCTGGAAAATTATAGGTTTTTATCAGCATTAACTGTGTATGTGTTCCACGTGGGATATTTTCATCTTGTACCAACATTTACTATAAGCTTATTAGAAATGTTTGCCTCTGTCGTTGAGTATTCTCTGGCATCTGGGAAGGGGAGAGGGTGGACCATAATCCAGCCCTGACTCCCACAACTCTTTTGGTCTTCAGAAATCCAGCACTGAAGGAGGAAAAATGACCTGGGGTTGCTTTAAATCACTCATTCACTGTGAAGCTTTGGGCAAGTTACTTAACCTCTCTGAGTCTCACTTTCCTTCATCTACCTGACAAGAATGTTTTCAGGACTAAATTAAATGCAATAGTATGCTCCAAGCTCAGAGCTCATGTGCCCAGCCCTTAAGTCATTGATTCACAAAGGGCATCTCTTGGCTATGGTAGCATCATGATTGCCTCTAGATTCTCTTCCCTCGTGGGCTTTGCTGGACCTTAGGGGCAGGTTTGTAGGGTAGGGTTGGTTTAAAATTCATGAGGGCACCCGAAGTCCAATTGTATGATTTTTTTCCCCTTTTCTATACTTACTCAATCCAGAAAAAAAAAGTCCACTATAATGCCAGATGTTCCAGGAAGCGTTTGTTGTCAAACTACTTGAAACAAATGATGTGCACACATGGAAGGAAAGTGCGTTGTAAAATCAGCAGGAAGATTATGCTTTTTTTTTTTTTTTTACAAGGTTTAAAGGAGAATAAATCAGTCTTCTAGATATGCAGGTAGTCATTTAATAGACATTGATTAAATCGAGTGCTGTGCTTTGAAATGATATCAAATTGAAGACATGATCCTTGCCCTGGGAGGGTTTATGAACTTGTTGGAGAGACCAAACATGTATATGTGAAATGACCACAGAACGGTTAGACTCAGTCTCAGGAAAGGAAGTGTAAAACAACAGGGCTTGAGCCCGTAAGTACTGAGGAAAGGCAGGATACAGGTTTGGGTAGGGATTTAATATAGTTCTTGGAGACTTAGGGTCGTGGTTTGACGGGTTCATAAAACAGTATCGTTTAAAGACAGACAGAATTAAAAAAAAAAAAAACCCCAACCTAAAATGTTCACTTCCTATAGAAACCTAAGAACATACTGCAGTTACTCTTAACTTATTTGAAATAAATGCATCCTTCTAAATTCTCAGCGTTCAGGCTGATTTCCTTTCAAACTCTCCCTCCACACTGTGCCAGACGGCTCCTGCCCAAATTTGTTCTTCGTCTGCGGGATATGGAATATCTTTATAAATCATAACAAGTCACAGGGAGGGTAAAAATCCCAGCTCGAGACCTACCTCAAAAGCTGAGGCGTGCCACATATTTTAATGGCGGTGGATCTAGGAACCAAGGGTAGGACCTTTCTCTCTCTATTAGAAGAAGATTTATAATTCAGAGCCTTCTGAGGGTGAGCCTGGATCCTCTGACCTGGACCCATCCTCCAGCCCGTCCCCACATCCCAGCTCCCCAAATGAAATAAGCAGGGAAGCAGGACAGCAAAACCATTAACGTAATAGCGTAGAATTTATGGCTGAAATCTTGCAAAGCTTATGTCGGCAGAGGAAAATTATTACTGTCACTTTCTTTGAGACACTTGGCTTTATGGTTCCTGTCACCTTTATCATAACACACAGCTGATTTAGTAGCTCTGTTTTTCATGGCAAATGGCCTGGTGTTATGTTTTTATGCATGTGGACATGCTAGTGAGATGACAATACATGGATAGACTGGGGTGGGACTAAATTTAGATAATGAACTGGAATACTGTTAATGGTTTGGGTTTAGTCACGCTGTCACTATGCCAGCTGAGCTTTTTTCACTTGCCCTTTCCTCCTCTAGATTCTCAAATCCAAAGATTTAACATCTCCAACCCAGCGCTACATCGACAGCAAAGTCGTGAAAACCAGAGCAGAAGGCGAATGGCTCTCCTTCGATGTCACTGATGCTGTTCACGAATGGCTCCACCATAAAGGTGACCACCGCCCTCTGTTCTCCTCCTTCGATGTTCAGTGATCCTAAGTTATTGCAAGTCGGTTGCAGATTGAGGGGTATTAGATGCACAGACAAATGACATCCTTGACTTAATGTTTTCCAGACAGGAATCTGGGATTTAAAATAAGTTTACACTGTCCCTGCTGCACCTTTGTACCATCGAATAATTACATCATCCCCAACAAAAGTGAAGAACTAGAAGCGCGATTTGCAGGTAACTGAAACTGGGGCATATGAGGTGGGGGAGGGAAGGGCCTCTGTTGATAATCTCCTGGGGGGATGAGGTCAGTTTGCATGTGAAAATGAGATTGCTGGGTGAGGCCCAGGGAGTTTCATTTGTTTGGGCAAAGCTATGGTTGGGGAAAGATATATGAAGGCAGAAAGGACTGGAAGAAAGGGATTCCTTCCCAGTTTACACTGCTCAATGCCCCGTGATGACTTGGCAGTACTAACTGACAGACTTACCAACCTTCCAGACTTTTAAATAGCCCGTTCAGCCCTTTATTCTTCACTTGAGCAAACCAACATTCCATCTATGCTAATAGTATAGAAGAAGAAGATCACATGCATTCAAGGACATCCATTGATTATCCCCCCCAAACCCAACGTCGTCGGGAAGCCACCACTGTTATTTATCTCACAGAGGACGTCCTCTCCCACCACAGCCTCTGTAACTAACCTGACCTGTACCAGAACACACCCCCTTTTCTAGCTGGTGCCCAATATTCCAAGTGGCTTCCTTATCAGACTTTCATAATAGTTTATAAACACATAACAAGGTTTTAGTCGCCCCCCAGTCTTGCTTACCTTTTAGTGAATTAGCCAAAAGTCAAAGAGAATGAGGAGATGCCAAGGGTTCAAGTCATGTCTTACGTTAGGTAACAAGTCGTTGGAGGACGAGAGGTGAGGGGGGAGTCTGGACCTATTGCGGGTTCAGCACTGGCTCCACACCACCAGGTGAGGGAGCTGATGGCCCTTCCCTAACTCACCCCACCTGAGACCTCCATCCATTGGCAGAAGGCTCCAGTGGACCTTGCTCATGGAAAAATACTCCCAGCGGTCTAGAGATTATTTCAGTCTCTAACCTAGTCATGATTCTCTAGAGTATGGAGATTAAATGCTTAAGCTGGCAGTCTCCTGAGTGTGCTTTGGGGAGCTCGAGTTTCTCCATCTCAGATGGAATCAAGAAGGTGTTGAGGATATCATAAAATCAATGACAAAACCCTTTCTTCACAGCTTCCCAAAGTAGCATTAGGTAAGGGTGGGTGACTTCTGTTTCGCTTGAACCTCATTCACTGCAATTTAGTGTAAGTCTCGTCAGGGAAGTCTTTTGACTTGCGCAGTCCTAGGAGGAGAGGGGACCAGCGGGTGACACGTCCTATGGCCGTGTCATCAGTCATTGAGGTGTTGAGCACAGCCTACACTGAGGACTGACTAAAATAAACAGTCGAGATTGCCCTTGGACTAGTGGTCAAAGACTTCTTCTGTAGTGACTCTCACAACCAGCAGGCCCTGCCTTGGACACTGAACTGCCTTCTGACAAGAACCCCACTTAGCCGTGTTCCTTGTCACCTGCACTAGTCCTACCCATTGCCGTGGGGAGTGAGCCAGCTGCTGCTGCTGTGTGGTCATCCCTGCTATTTGTGACAATAGACAAAGGAAAAAAAAAAAGATATGGCTGATTCTATTTGATGAAGGTGAAGCTAAATGTTTATTACCCGAATGCATTTTTTCAAGGTATTGATGGCACCTCCACATATACCAGTGGTGATCAGAAAACAATAAAGTCCACTAGGAAAAAAAACAGTGGGAAGACCCCACATCTCCTGCTAATGTTGTTACCCTCCTACAGACTTGAGTCACAACAGTCCAACCGGCGGAAGAAGCGTGCTTTGGATGCAGCCTATTGCTTTAGGTAAAGGAAATAAAAAGAAAACAAAAAGTAACTGTGTTTGTTTAACTTTTGTACTGCTTTTGCCCCCCCTTTTTTTTTTTTACTAAAAATGGACTTGAACTGCAACTCATTGCATAAAACTGGGACTAGAAAAGTTAGAGCCATCGTATTTCGTAACATCATCCTTTCCGGAGGTTGAAACAGTTATTTCTGTGCTGTCTTCGTCAGCTCTTTAACAATGAATCTACTGTGAAGGGAGAAAACTGGCCCCCTGAACTTTTTCCCCAAATCCCTGCGAAGCACTTTGAGGCTGAAGGAGAAAAGGAGCTGTCTGCTCCCCAGAGCAAAGTTAGGTTTATTTGAGGGGCAGGATGGCGGGTCCCTAACTGGGGAGACTCACCACCTGTAGAAGCCTTCACTCTCCCTGCAAGGTACCCATGGTCAGACCTTCTTCACAGTAACAGTGATGAGAAAGACAGAAGAAAGATGCTATTTGTCGTGTCTTTTACTAGAGAATATGAGAAGGGAGGGTAACATAAATTTATCTCCCATTTCCACATGAATTCATGGTGGGAAAGTGTGAATGTTTTTCTGTATTTTTTTCTTTTTCTTTTGGCCGTGCCACTGGTGCAGCTTGCGGGGGCCTTAGTGGCTTGTGGGGATCTTAGTTTCCTGACCAGGGATTGAACTCGTGCCCCCTGCATTGGGAGCACGGAGTCCTAACCACTGGACCACCAGGGAGTTCCCCTTTTCTGTGGTTTCTTAGTAAGCGTGGTAGGAGCTGTGGGGTGGTGTGGGGTCCTCACTGATAAAGTGCTCAAAGTGTGTGAGTTCACAAGAAAAAGGGTGTTTTTTGGTTGCCAGAGCCAGTGGTTGCTCTAAGCAAGACTCTGTGTTTCTTATCTCTGGTTCATTCCTAGATCCAGGAACAGGAAATGAAATAAAGGATTTCTTCTCAAAGGAAAATGCCTTAGATTGTTCTCTGTAAATACCTATTGTACTTCATCCATTTTGCATTTGAAAAGGCAATAGAGGATGGATGGCCAAACTGTGCACTGTAGGTTGGAACAGGCTTGGTCTCGTCTGCCACGTCTTTGCTTATATCTCATCATTTAAGGGAAAGGTTTGATTTTTGAAGTCACAGATAAGCGGGTCGGGCATAGAACTCACAAGGGAGTCCTGCGAATCACCATCACACCTCATCATGACAGTCTCTTGAGATTGCAGTTCAACCATTAAAACCTGGCCCGTGGTATTTGCTCATACATATTTGTTGAATAAATGAACGAGTCATTTTCCTGGTTTGGGCTGAGGGGCGGGGGGATTGGGGTGAAATCTGCTTCAAAATCTCCATTGCTCTTTCTTTTACCAGAAATGTGCAGGATAATTGTTGCCTACGCCCACTTTACATTGATTTCAAGAGGGATCTTGGGTGGAAATGGATACATGAGCCTAAAGGGTACAATGCCAACTTCTGTGCTGGAGCGTGCCCATATCTGTGGAGCTCAGACACTCAGCACAGTAGGGTAAGTATGGGCCTCACTTGTCTCTTCTATTCTTGGGCTGCTAATATGTACCTGCTGATAGTATTTCCACATGAATTCTAAATAGCCTGGTGCCCTTTTGTCATCACACGTAAATGGGTGCTGGAGACACCGTTTTGAATGATGAGAAAAAAATGTAAGCTGTAGGTGAACTCAGAAAGTAACACTGATGAGTTTGGACAGTAGACCTGGCCTTCCCAATTAGATTACAAGCAACTTGAGGACAGTTTAATTTTTTTCTTTGTTTTATATTCTTAACAGCTGTAAGCATAAATAGGTAGGATCAGTATATCACTTAGTGTCATGCGCTGTTAAGATGTGCAGGGACCCAGGTCTTCAGCTAAAAAAAGGATCCGTTATCACCTCCATCAGGGACTGTCATATTTGAAAGAACATTGAGGACTTCAGTAGATGCTTTGGCAGAGTGATTCACTAGTGTATGACAGTTATAAAATCATTTAACTTCTCTGAACCTCAGTTTTCTTATCAGTAAAAAGGAATGTCTGTATTAAAAATTATTTTTGAAATAATAATGTCCAACTCCAGGGTGGATGTGAAGAATATAAAGATGATATATGTAGCAGTGATTTGAAAATCAGTATCTCCCAGTCTTTTCGAATATAACCCAAAGTAAATGAGAGTCTGAATATTTTATTAAGTTACTTCAATGAGGAATGAAGGCTAATTCAGAAGACAGGTCCTAGATTGGATGCCATGGGTTCCCAGCCCAGATTAGCAAAGACTTTTTCTATGTAATAATGGTATTTGTCCAAATGCTTCTTCCTGGTGCCTAGTCATGTAGGATTTTTAGAGATGGAAAGGACTTCACAAGTTATCTTGTCCCATCCTGTAGTACTATATATAAAATAAATAAACAACAAGGACCTACTGTATAGCACAGAGAACTATACTCAATATTTTGTAACAATGTATAAGGGAAAAGAATCTGAAAAAGAATATATATATATATATATATATATATACACACACACACATAACTGAATCACCTTGCTGTATACCTGAAACTAACACAACATTGTAAATCAACGATACTTCAATAAAAATATAGAATAAAATGAAATAAGAATAAAATAAAATACAAAACAATAATAGGCTCTCTTGTTCAAACCTTCCATTTTTTTAAAGAAATTGAAGCCTAGATCAAGTAGATGACTTGCCCAGGAGCAAACAGTTGGTGACAAACCAGAGCCTGGAACGCAGGCCTCCTTGTTTTATAAGCAGGCCTTCGTTCACTGCGTCTTAGAGTTTAATTCCTGAAATGTGGCTACACACTGGGTTTATGCCTCTGTAAATCTCCTTATTAAAGAAACATTAGAAAAATTGCCTTCACTGCAGGATAGGAAAATGAATCTCCTGCCAAAAAGGTCACATAATGCGTTCAGCTGAACTCAAGAGTTTGGGGGATATCAATGATTTTCGATAATCTGTATTATAAAATTCCTCTTGAATTCAGCTGAAAAAATCTTGTGTTGGTGGAGCATGAAGTCTATTTATTGATAAAAGCTTACATATGCTAAACTTTCAATGGACAAATACGGCTCCCTTTCCTTCAGCTGTTTTCCTGACACCCCTGGAGGTTTTGGCTCCCTGGGCTGACCACGTGCTTGGCCACGTGAGGGAAGCTCGCTCATGCCTGTCGCTTGGTCTGAGCTCTCTGGCCAGGCTGCTTCAGCTGGGCTGTGGCAACAGTAGCTGTAATGTGGGCAAGACCCAGTTGCCAAGTAGAAACATAATTCTCCTCCCTGATACACAGAGGGAGTGTGTGAAGGCTGAGACCACGCTTGTTTTTCAAGGAGAGAGGAAGAATCACTGTCATGATCACAAATATGTGGTTTGGACAGTTCCCCAAAAAGCCAGAGGTAGCTTAATAAAGTAGTCAGTGTTGCTGTGCTGAACAGATCTTCTGTCCTAGGCTGAAAACATTGCAGTGAATCTCGAGGAAAAGGTCACTTGCTGTTTGATTAACACATTAATGGCATCCTTGGAAATGTCTCTTTATCATCACTGGGGAAGCTCCATACTTCCGTTGGTAGAAGTCACATACCTCTTTGATATAGGATGGAGTTAAAGGTATAGCACTAACCATAGAACTTTCTTTTCATTCTAAGACTGACTATTCACTCCTCCAACTTAGCCACTACCATTTACCACATGGAAAGCTAATTGGGGGGTTGATTATTATTATTATTTTAAGAAAAATGTAACAAAGTGAATAATTAAGAATATAGATTACTTCTGAGGTCGTTCTTAGCATGATTGTATTTGCAAAGCAATGAAAAGACTTTGATCTTTTTTTATTTTAAATGAAAATTTAGGTGACATTAAATTGGCCTGAGAAGGCACTTAGCCTAGGAAGTTTTCACACTGCAGACAGATGTCTTTTGCTCTACCTAAGGGTAGATTAAAGCTCTGATGAGAGTTTTAATAAAAAATGTTATTCTCCTGTTTATCCATGTATTCATTTCTTCACCTAGCATGTGAGTCTTGTTTTGATTTTGTCCAGAGAAGTCTCACTAGGGCTATAAGGTTAAAAAACAGAGGTGTGTAGAGTCCCTGACCTCAAGCGAACTCTTCATCTAGGTGGGGATTGAAACTACTCACGAAACAACTTCAGTTACAGAGAAGTGTAGACACAAGGCGAGATACCAAGTTTGGTATTTGGACCAAGTTTTCTGAGGGCCTGGGAAGTATGGGCAGCAAAGGAGTGATCAAAGTAAAGACTCCTTGGAAAAACTGGAAAATCTGTTGAATGAGCAATTTTGTCTAATCTGACTTTTACAGAAGTATTTGTTTACAATGTATGAGAAGAGGATTCTGTAGGAAAATGGTGAATTCAGGGATTCCTCAGGACGCCTACCCATTTGACTATAATTGGAGAATAAGTAAAGGAAAGTGTAAGCCCCAAATAATCTAAATTGCCTACTCAGCGCTGTGACTGATAAGATAACTATGTGCGATGGTTCTATTAAAAAATAATTGCCTCGTTTTTTTGGGGTCTTTTCCTATGTTTTCTTTCTTCTCCTGTGTCCTTTCAGGTTCTCAGCTTATATAATACCATAAATCCAGAAGCATCTGCTTCCCCTTGCTGCGTGTCCCAGGATTTAGAACCGCTCACCATTCTCTACTACATCGGCAAAACACCCAAGATTGAACAGCTTTCTAATATGATCGTAAAGTCTTGCAAATGCAGCTAAGATTCTTGGAAGAGTGACAAGACGATAATCAAACAGTGGTGATGATGGTGATAATGATAGTGACAAAGGCAATGTTTGTAACAAGAAAACACGAGAGAGCCTTGCTTCATCAGTGTTTAAAAAAAATTTGAAAAAGCGGTACTAGTTCAAACACTTCGGAAGTTTGTGTTCTGTTTGTTAAAACTGGCATCTGAAACAAACAAAAAAAAGTTGAAGGCTTTATTCTATATTTTACCTACTCTGTAAGTGAGAGAGACAAGAAGCAAAACCTTTTTTTCTTGAGAAAAAAAAATAAACACTGGAAGAATTTGTTAGTGTTAATTATGTGAAAGAAAAAAAAAAACAGGAAAATCCCGTTAAGTGGAGTTGCTGTACATACGTTTTTATCCCATGCCTCACTTGATTTTTCTGTATTGCTATGCAATAGGCATCCTTCCATTCTTACTCTTAGAGTTAACAGTGAGTTATTTATTGTGTGTTACTATATAATGAACATTTCATTGCCCTTGGAAAATAAAACAGGTGTATAAAGTGGAGACCAAATACTTTGCCAGAAACTCATGGATGGCTTAAGGAACTTGAACTCAAACGAGCCAGCAAAAAAAAGAGGTCATATTAACGGGATGAAAAATGCAAGTGACATATTATATGACCGAGCAAGTCTGCATGAAGAAAAGACCCTGCAAACACATGATCTCTACCAACTGCCGGAGGAAGCTTCTTGTGAGGTTCAAAACTGAAAAGCCTGTTAATAAAGGAAACTTTCGGTCAGAATAAGTATGTAAGATTTTTTTTTTTCCTTTTTAATTGTAAATGGTTCTTTGTCAGTTTAGTCAACCAGTGAAATGTTGAAATGTTTTGATATATACTGGTCAAACTTCAGACCTTAAAGTATTGCTGTATAGCTATGCTCTAGATTTTTCCTTCATTTCGGTGTATGTAACCATACCTATATTACTACAATAGATGGGTATAGAAGCCAGTATAATTGGAAACACATCTGCAGATCTCTTTTGCAAACGATGAAATCAAAACATTAACTACTTTATGTGTAATGTATAAATTTTTACCATATTTTTAATGTTCTGTAATAATGTCAACTCTGATTTAGATTGGACTTAATTTGGGCGCTTTCTAATGATCGTTCGGAATCGTGTGTTTCCTTTAGCTGGCCAGTACTTTTGAGTAAAGCCCCTGTATTTTGACTTGCACTACAAATACATGTTTGATAGTATTTGTTCCACCTGTGCTTTTGCATTGTCCATTATTAGGACATAAGCTACCTGAGTCCACTTGTCCTTTTTTTTTTCTTTTATAAAAAGACGTAGTTTTCCTTCATTTTCTAAGCATCATTACTAATCAGTTCAGACATTAACAATCTTCAATTTTAGGGAAATTGGGGATTATAGATACATAGATAATTGAGGTGAAATGCTTTAGCTTTAGCAAGGGCTTAAGGATCTGACTGGAACTCAGAATCTTGGTGACTGGGTTAAGAAAGGTTTCTCTAACTTGGTTTAATCAGTATTTTCACAGAATTCTACTGTTATAAAAGAGCAGACAGTTCTTAGGAAACAACTTTTTCTTTAATTGAGTTTTTAGTGTTCAGGGAGAAATGGAAAGATTTACATTTTAGTTGATTTTTTTTTTTTTTAAGGAAGAAAAAAAGCCCAGGTCAGCATAAGTCATTTAGTTTATTTCACTGAAGTTAAGGTTTTTATAGATGTTCTTTGAAGGTTGAAAAGGCACTAGGCAAATTCTCCCATGATCAAAAAATCCTTTCTTTCCTCTGAATGAGAGTTATCAAATCAGAGGTTAGAATTTACCTTGCTGAAATACATGATTTGCCACATTTTTGCAGAGGAGGTAACCTTATGTCAGGGGTTGTAGGATATGTCAGTTTGTCAGTTGTCTCTTATTTAGCTTTAGGATAACAATTAATAGTAAGTCAATGGAATATTTGCAGTTTTACCTAAAGAGCAGCACAATGAGGTGTGAATCCAGCGTGAAGTTGTTTGTTTGATGTAGTGTACTTCTTTTTTGGAATTTCCTGACCATTATTAAAATGACAAATTGGATTTGTTTGAAAACTGGAAAAGCAAGAGATAGGATGCCACAATACCAAACAACCCTTGGGTTGGATGTAACCCAATCCCAGATTGGAGTGTGTTGATTTTTTTTTTTCTCTTCCACTTTTCTATCCATTCTATGTAAATCACTTATTTCTGCAGGTATTTTCCTCTCAGAGAGAACGACATTTTGTTTTGTATTATTTTGTCTTTCCTCATGAATGCACTGATAATATTTTAAATGCTCTATTTTAAGATCTCTTGAATCTTTTTTTTTTTTTTTTTTTTAGTTTGGGGGTTTTATAAGGCCTTTATTTCCCATAAGTAAATATTGCTATGAGAGGGGAGGGAGTGGGGAAAATGTTAGTATGTGGGTGGGGTTGGCCTGCAGTTTTTCTGTGATAAACAGCAATACGATTTTATGGTTGGCATGATTTTTGTTTTTTAAATGGACATAAGAATAGCTGTTTTGTATTTTGATGACTGATTACGCTGTATTTTAACACAATGTATGTCTGTTTTTGTGGTGCTCTAGTGGTAAATAAATTATTTCAATTACATGTCGATGTGTTTTTCCTGTCCTGGTATCATCCTGGAGACCAGAGAACACTTCTGATTCAGGGAGCGTGATCTCAAGCTAGAAAAGTCATACCAGCTTTAAGATCGTGCTTTTTTTTTTTTTTCCTCAGAGAGATTCAGTCCAGAGATGTCATGCTTTAGAGTTCCAGAGCCAGGATGTATCTATCAAGGCCTGAAGAAAGCGCCGTGCAGGCTTTGTATTCCCTTGTTTATTGCTATTTGGTAATTGTTGGAGATTTAGTTTCCATCCAGCTTGACTGTCTACCAGAAAAAAAATACAGAGAGTTGTTTGGACCATGCTTTGGCTTTCTAATCCTATGTTCTGCCAACCCCAGGGCCAAAAGAACTGGTCTAGACAGTATCCCCTGTAGCCCCATAACTTGGATAGTTGCTGAGCCAGCCAGATATAACAAGAGCCACGTGCTTTTTGGGGTCGGTCTTTGAGAGCAGCTACTCCTTTATTTCTCCCCTACCGCTGCAGCAAAAAACCCCTATTCCCGCAAACCTCTTTGGCTGTTCACCCTGCAAGACCAGACTTTGCAAGTGAGTTGCCAGTCTCTCAGTAAATCAAAGTAATAAAAAAAGTCGTTGTGGCTCCATCTGGCTGTCCTGCTTTATCTAATGAAAGAACGAATTTGTGCCTGTGTTGTAAACATCACCTAGAAACGAACCGTCCATTCAAACGTCTAGGTAGAACAGAAAACGGTTCCCTTTTCTACACTGTGTTTCATCTTTTATACTCATCTGTTACAGACAGAGGAAGTGTTTCACTCGAAAACAATTCGTTCGTGCTTCTCTGCAGTACCAGGGGCCAGTACCAGGCCTATCACCCCAGCCCCCATCACCTTTATTTGAAGTGTGAGAATAAGAGGGTATCATAGGGTCATGAAAAGAGTCACGTAAGAGCTGTATCAACTTGGTAAATTTGTCAGCCACTCTGAGCCTCGTTTCTTTATCTTTAAAATGAAGATGAGATTTACCTGCTTTGTGTGTTTGTTTTTGTGCCCTTGTTATTGTTACGTAAGTGGACGTGGGAAAAGTACTTTGGTGTTTGGCCTGTAGATGATGGTCAGGAAATCGTAGTCTTAACAGCTTTTTAACGTCTATTCAGACTGTAACCAGGGGCCACACTCCTTCCTCTTGATACTGAATGTGTAACCTCCAGACCCGAATCTCATCAATGAATCAGGCCATCAGTTATTCCTGAGAATATTGTCACTCAATTTCTTAACTTTTGGGTTACGTGACTGACCAGAAACTGTTTAAAATCATGGGGAAATGTTCAGGTGAAGCTTTGCTTCCCGTCCACCGACTGAAATTCAACGTAACAGACAAGGCGGTTAGTTGACGGTCCCGTTTTCTAAGATGATGATACTGAGAGCCCCAGTTTGTTGAGCACCCACCAGCTACTGTTCTCTGTTATCCTATGTAACCGCACATGTCACCCTACGATGTAGGCTTTTTTGATAGAACTCCATTTTACAGGGAAATGAGCAGACTCGGAATGGTTAAATTACATGTCCAAGATCACCCAGGTTATAAGAGGAAGGTCGAGAACTTCATTGTTCAGTACACTAGCTACTTGCCACGTGTGGCTTTCAAGCAACTGAAATATGGAGAATCTGAATTGAGACATTCTGTAATATCCAAACCATATTTTGAAGACTTAGTACAAAAGAGAAAGAATATCTAATGTCTCATTACTTTTTTATATTGATTACATGTCTAAATAATACTATTTTGAATATATGGGATTAAATAAAGTATATTATTGAAATTATTTCACCTGTTTCTTTTTTGCTTTTTTAATACAATTACTAGAAATTTTAAAAGTACATATGGTGCTCGTATTCCTACCCTATTCTATTTCTCTAGAATTGTTTTTTCAGTTCTTTCTTAGAATTTCCCCATCTCTCTGCTTACATTGCCCATCTATTCTTGCGTGCTGTTTACTTTGTCTGTTAGAACCCTTAGCATATTAATCACAGTTGTTTTCAATTCCAGGTCTGGTAATTCCAACATCCCTGCCATGTGTGGTTCTGATGCTTGCTCTGTCCTTTCAAATTGTGCTTTTTGCCTTTTGGTATGCCTTGTAATTTTTTCTTATAGCTGGACATGATGTACTGGGTAAAAGGAACTGCTACAAATAGGCCTTAGAAATATGGTGGTGAAGTGGGAGGGGAAGCAGTCTATAGGTCTATGATAAGGTCTCAGTCTTCCAGTGAACCTGGGCCTCTGGACTGTGACATTCACAAGAGGTGCTCAGATTTCTTCTCCCTCCTTAGCTGGGGCAGGATAGCTAGTATGTTGCAGAGTTGGCTATTTCCCTTCCTCAAGGTCAGCAGTTTGTTAGTCTCTGATAATACTCCAGCAGGTGAGCCTCTGGTTAACTGGTTTCCCCAGAGGGCTTGATAAGAACAGAGTGCTCTGGTGTATTGCAGAATGATTCCTTTGCCCCATTCCCTGCAGGAAGTCCGAGATTTTTCTCTGGTATTTACTGTGGGAATCTGGTGGATCTCCTGGAGGTGAATCTCACAATATTGTGTGTGTATGTAGGGGTTGGGTGGAGGCTATGGGTGGGTCCCCCAGAGTTTTTAACTCTCAGAGGTGTTCACACTGAGCCTCCAGCAATTCATAAATTACCATTCAGGTTTTCCTATCCCGGCACCAGTTCCTGCAGCGGTTTCTTTCTTTCTTTTTTTTGTCTATCAATAATGTGATGGATAAAGCATAGTCCATTCATACAATGAAATGTCTAGTAATTAAAAGAAAATGAATTAGATTTAAATGTATCAACATATATACATCTCAGAAATATGATGTTGAGGGCTTCCCTGGTGGCGCAGTGGTTGAAAGTCCGCCTGCCGATGCAGGGGACACGGGTTCGTGCCCCGGTCCGGGAAGATCCCACATGCCGCGGAGCGGCTGGTTCCGTGAGCCATGGCCGCTGAGCCTGCGCGTCCGGAGCCTGTGCTCCGCAACGGGAGAGGCCACAACAGTGAGAGGCCTGCGTACCGCAAAAAAAAAAAAATATATATATATATGATGATGAGTGAAAAAAGCAAGTTACAAAAATACATGTGCAGATGACCATCCTGAAGTTGGATTTTATCTTTATATCTGTATTGCTAATATTTTTACTATGTATGTATTCACAAATAATATATAATATTAATTCTTGAATTTTATGTAAATCATATCACCCACAGCAGCTTCTGCTTATAAGTCTCTGCTCTGATAAGTGGTGATGACCTCTATTTTCCCATCCGTCTCTTCAACCTTGGGGACAGTGGTTTGCCCTGTATCCTCCCCTCTCTATGGATCCAGGAAGATTTGTTGATTTTTTTTCAGGCTTTTCAGCTTGTTACTAGTTGTTAGGACAGAGTGGTGACTCCTAAGCTCCTTACATGTGGAGCCAGAAGTTCTTTCTACTTCGGTTAGACAGCTCTGGTGTAGAATTTGAAAGCAGGTCTGTTTAAGGGCTAAACTATTCCCTTAGCCCGCCCCCTGCAGGAAGTCCTAGATTCCAGCTTTTGTTTTGTTTGTATGACCAGCTTTTGTTTTTGTAATTAACCTATGATTGAACAATATTGAGTCAAACTCTATGAAATTGTTCTTGTAGGTCATGATTTGTTGAAAGTTGCCAATTCTTTAAGGTTCATCCTAACAGTTGGAGCTGATGGACAGATGTGGCAACGAAAGTACATACATTCTACAAGCTCCACTGGCAAAGCTCTTGATAAAATTTATGGTTACTTATCAGCAAGGCACTACTGAGACAGTACAACCTATTTCTAGGGTAGCTGGACTATCATACAAATCTTTTCAGTCCATAGAAATCTTCATTTATGCACCTGTGACAACATTTTCTACTGGGTTGAAGGGGGGAAAAAAGCCAGAATACTCACTGTGCTCTTTCAAGTCACTGGTCCTGAGAAGACTCTGCTTTTCTATCTGTAAATAAGCTGTGCTCTCTTTACTAACAGGTCTTAGAAGGGTGGATCCAGGCTTTGTGTTCTGGAAGCTTACATAAGGGAGGTTTTGTTTTTTGTTTTACAGAATCAAAATTACAAATACAAAATTAGATTCAGAGCCTTAGAGAGGGCCCACAAAAGTGAGAAGGTGGGATATTTTGAGCTTTAAGAGCTTCACTGCAAACGCTTCACTGCAAACTGGCCTCTGGGCTTAAGCTAACACAGGCCTTTGTTACTATCAGATGGTCAGCTTGTAATTCTAGCAAAAATTATATCCCATCTCTTTACTGATAATCTACTAAATCACATCTTATGTGCTGAACAAAGGAAAAAATGACCTTGGTTTTTCTAACATTCTGAGTCAGAGGCAGTAGAGGCGATGTTATTTTTATACCTCTTTTGAAACACCCTATGAGATTGGAGACATTGTTCACATAAACATTAGGCAATTGTGTCAGTAAATATGAGTAACTTCACCTGAAGTTGCAAAAAGAATGCTTTTCAATTACTTTTTTTAAAGGAAAGTATTTCTCTTGTCCCCTGCCCCTCCTCCCCAGTTGTG